TCAACTAGAGATCAGATTTTTTTTTTTTTTTTTTGACAGGCAGAGTGGACAGTGAGAGAGAGAGACAGATAGAAAGGTCTTCCTTTGCCATTGGTTCACCCTCCAATGGCTGCCGCGGACGGCGCACCGAAGCCAGGAGCCAGGTGCTTCTCCTGGTCTCCCATGGGGTGCAGGGCCCAAGCACTTGGGCCATCCTCCACTGCACTCCCTGGCCAAAGCAGAGAGCTGGCCTGGAAGAGGGGCAACCGGGACAGAATCCGGCGCCCCGACCGGGACTAGAACCCGGTGTGCCGGCGCCGCCAGGCGGAGGATTAGCCTAGTGAGCCGCGGCGCTGGCCGAGATCAGATTTTTAATGGTAGAAAACTGAGAATGAAAAACTGCAGTTGGTGCTTCCATTGTGGTGCAGATTAGTTAAGTCGCCACTAGGGGCGCTCCCACCCACGTTGGAGCACGTGGTTAGAATCTCAGCCTCTGCTTCAGCCTCCAGCTAATTCACCTGGGAGGCAGCTGATAGGCCAAGTACTTGGGTTTCTGCCACCTGTGTGGGAGCCGTGCCTGGAGCTACGGGCCCCTGGCTTCAGCCTGGCCTAGCCCTGGATATTGTGGCCAGCTGGAGAATGAACCAGCAGATGGAACATCTTTCTATCTCTTCTTCTCTGGTACTCTGCCTTTCAAATAAATAAATAAATCTTTAAAAAATAAGTTTTAAATTAAAAAAATTAGAATTCCATGCAGTTTCTTCATACCATGCATTTGTCATGAACTTTTGGAAGTGCCCTCATACTGTGTACTTTTTTTTAAGATTTATTTTATTTATTTGAAAGGCAGAGTTAGAGAGAGATGTAGAGAGAGAGAGAGAGAGAGATCTTCCATCTGCTGGTTCCTTTCCCAAATGGCCACAACGGAGCTGAGCTGATCTGAAGCCAGGGGCCAGGGGCTTCTTCTGGTCTCTCGCGTAGGTGCATGGGCCCAAGGGCTTGAGCCATCCTCTGCTGCTTTCCCAGGCACATTAGCAGGGAGCTGGATCGGAAGTGGAGCAGCCAAGACTTGAAACAGCGCCCATATGAGATGCTGGCACTGCAGGCCTGGGCTTTAACCCGCTGCGCCACAGCACCAGCCCTGACCGTGTACTTGTTTATTCATTTGCTGTGGTAAACTGAATTCAAATTGACATATGAACCTAAGGATAGCTAAACTGGAAACTATAACTCCATTGATCTTGGAGTTATAGCTCAAGTGGCATAGATCAGATTCTTGTAAAGAAAAATATTCTTGCTCTTGCATATGTTATGCAAGTAGAAACAATTACAAAATAATGCAAGTTAGTATTTGTTTTGCTTGTTTGGGTTCCTCAAGTTCTTTTAACATCATCCGTTAATTTTGCAAAGAAAGGTAACATAATGGAGAGCAGTAAATCCAGTGGTAAAGCAGCAGATGGAATGCAGCTCTTTGGGGAGGGACAGGAACACACAGCCTGGACCCTTGTGGCACAGAGGCTAAAGCCTAGGACACCATCATCTATCAGAGGATAGTTTATGGCCTGGCTGCTCTGATTCTTTTTTTTTTTTTTTTTAATATTTATTTATTTGAGAGACAGAGACAGAGAGAAAGTCTTCCCATTCACTGGTTCACTCTCCAAATGGTCACAACGGCCGAAGCTGGGCCAATCCAAAGCCAGGAGCCAGGAGCTTCTTCCGGGTCTCCCAGACAGGTGCAGGGACCCAAGAATTTGGGCCATCTTCCACTGCTTTCCCAGGCCATAGCAGAGAGCTGGATCGGAAGTGGAGCAGCCAGGACTCCAAATGGCAAACCAGAGCCCATATGGGATGCTGGTATCCTAAGCAGCAGCTTTACCTGCTACACCACAGTGCCAGCCCCTGCTCGGATTCTGATCCAGCTCCCTGTTAATGCACCTGGGAAAGCAGCAGATGATCCAAGTATTTGGACCCCTGCCATCCATGTAGGAGACCTAGAAGGAGTTTCTGGCTCCTGGCTTCACCATGGCCCCAGCCCTTGCCATTGCTGCCATTTGAGGAGTGAACCAGCAAGTGGAAGATCTCTCTCTTTCTCTCTCTCTCTCTTTCTCACTCTGCCTTCTAAATAAACAAATCTTAAAAAAAAAAAAAAAAAACTCAACTTGACCTGGTCCTTCCCCTTAACCTTCACATGGGTTTTGCCATCTGCATGAAATTGAAGGCAATAAAAGGTGTATGTTTTTAGACTCTTGATTGGTTTTGTTCTGGGAATTTCAAGTCAGCCTGAAAGATTTTAGTATTTAGTATTTAGTATATTTGGTCTCTTGGCATTATTCAGAATCTATACTTTATTGCTTTTTCAGTGTGCTTTATTTTCTATGCTTTATGGATGTGTGTATGTTTCTGTTTGGTATTATAATTACTAAAAATTGTTTTCATATCTTGGATTATTGCAAACATTAGCCTAGTAAATTAACCACATTAAACCTAATGTTGCAAATAACTCATGCTAATGTTTTGGAGTTGTATTTTAGGAATGAATATGAAGATGTGTTCTTTAGCAGAAAAAATAGCAAAAAAAATATGAGACTGCTTAATAGGTTACGGTCACTGAGGTCTGCAGTAATTAACAGTTTCATAAGAAATTAATGGGTGGGATCGTCACTATTGTGCACTAAGCTAAGCCCCCACCTGTGACACTGGCATCCAACACGGGCTCCAGTTCATGTCCCAGCAGCTCCTCTTCCTATCCAGCTCTCTGCTATGGCCTGGGAAAGCAGTGGAAGATGGCCCAAGTCTTGGGCCCCTGCACCTGTTGGGCAGACCCAAAAGAAGCTCCTGGCTCCTGGCTTCAGATCAGCACAGCTCTGGCTGTTGCAGCCAATTGGGGAGTGAACCAGCGGGTGGAAGACCTCTCTCTCTCTGCCTCCCCTTTCTCTCTGTAACTGACTTTCAGATAAATAATTAAATCTTAAAAAAAAAAAACACAGACTGAGCATTTAGGATTATGGATTCCTTTTCCATTTTCTGTTGAAGGAAAATAAAAGCTGATTAGGAAGTACCTAAGCAAGATGCTCTAATAGGATGCTTTGGGATGCAAGAAAGAAATACAACTAAGAGGAACTTAAACAGAAGGACACTTATCACCTTACATAATACATCTGAGAAAGTGAGGTTCCCCAGTGGGTTACGCAGCTCAGCACCCCCAAGGATCAAGGTGTTCTCCATCCCTTTGCTCTGTTCTCCTCACGATCACAATGAGGACCAGCACCTGGCTTCACATCCTCCTCATATAACAAGGATCAGAGAAGTGGGGAATAGGGGGCCAGCATTGTGGCACAGTGGGTTAAAGCCCTGGCCTGCAGTGCTGGCATCCCATATAGGTGCTGGTTCTAGTCCTGGCTGCTCCTCTTCTGATCCAGCTCTCTGCTATGGCCTGGGAAAGCAGCAGAAGATGGCCTGAATCCTTGGGCCCCTTCATCCACGTGGGAGACCTGGAAGAAGCTCCTGGCTTTGGATCAGCTCTAGCTCTGGCTATTGCAGTCATCTGGGGAGTGAAACAGCAGAATGGAAGACCTCTCTCTCAGATCTCTCTGGCTATACCTAACTCTTTAAAAAAATAACAAAAAATTGGGGGATAAATAAGAGATTTACAGGTGTAAAAAATTTTCCCAGCTTCAGATCCATTCTGCCAGATTTGTGCCACAAACCTACTCCTACACCAAGGGAAAGACAGGGAATGATTTAGGATTAATCCAGCTAGCCCTTGGAAGGAGCACTACTTGCCCCTGGGGTGTACAATTTGACACCTGAACAGAATCCAAAATGTCAGAGGGAGAAAACAGCTGTAGGACAGGTAGCTGAAGCTGTCTGTGTTGGTGACCAGGTGAGATGTCTTGGACGAAGTCCAGCCCAGCATTCTCCTGGGCCTCCGGGTTTCAACCGAATATCTCAAAAGAAACAAAACCCCAAACACAACATGTCCAACATGGGTTCTTTGGCTTTTTTTTTTTTTTTTTTATCTACTTGAAAGTCAGAGATAGAGACAGAAAGAGATTTGCCATCTGCTCGTTTACTTCCCGAATGCTCAGAGCAGCTGAGGCTGGACCAGATGGAAGCCGGGAGCCAGGAATTCAATGCAGGTCTCCTACGTGGGTAGCAGAGATCCGGCTACTTGAGGGGCATCACCTGCTAGCTCCTAGGGTGCGCATGAGCAGGACCCAAATCAGGCTCTCTGACGGAGCATGTGGGCGTCCCACGTGTCGTCTCCACTGCTCAGGCTCCATGCTCGCCCCTGGGACTGAGCCCCTAATTGTCATCCAAGTGTTCCATCCCGGGACTCTATTTCTTTGTGATTAGCACTACCGTTCCAGAAAAAACAGGAGTCCTCATGTTCTCCCTCCTCAGCGCCCACACCCAGGGCACCCCCACGTCCGGCCGGCAGAAACCCCCATTCCTCGGCTCTGGACTCCACTCTTGGCACCTCCGCGGCCACCGCGTCACTATCCCTGCGGGTTCCACCTCCAGCCCCTCTATCGCAGCCAGGAAGGCCTCTTCAAACCCAAACCTGCTCGTGTTCAAAGCCGGTTTCCCACGGCTCTTGCAATAAGGACCGACACGAGCAGTAGCCCTGGCGTCTGGGCGGGGACCCCCCCTTCTCCCTCGGCCGAGCCGGCATCGCCTAAGGAAAGCCTTTCCCGGCTTCCCCATCGTCGGGTCACGAAGCTTCAACCAAGAGAGGAAAACAAGAAACACGGACCCACTCGCCGGGAAAACACGCGTGCCGGCCGCTGTCCGCCCGCCCGCCGCGCCACCACTGATTCTCTTCACAGGTTTCTCCTCACAGGAGCCCCGCCCCTGGCTCCGCCCCCCGCGCCCGGCCGGAGGGGGCGGGGCACACGCGTCGCGTGACGTGACAGCAGCCGGCCTGTGATTGGGCTTCCGGATGCAAAGGCTGGGGGGAAAGGGGCGTGTCCGCACACGCTGATTGGCTATCGGGCGCCGGCTGGGCGGGCGGCGGCGGCGCCGGGGCGGGCACCGGGAGGGACGGGACCGGGTAGGGCAGGGAGGGCGGTGGCGGAGGCGGGCAGGATGGGTCTTCGCTGCCGTCTTCGCTGAGACTCGATCGCGTGGGCTGCCCGCGGCGGGGCCACAGGCGGCCGCGGCGGCATGAAGGGCGCTCTGGGGAGCCCCGTGGCCGCAGCCGCCGCCGCCGCGATGCAGGAGAGTTTCGGCTGCGTCGTGGCCAACCGCTTCCATCAGCTGCTGGACGACGAGTCGGACCCGTTCGACATCCTGCGCGAGGCCGAGCGCCGGCGCCAGCAGCAGCTGCAGCGCAAGAGGCGCGACGAGGCGGCGGCGGCGGCGGCGGCAGCAGCAGCAGCTGCGGCGGCGGCCGGAGCCGGCGGCCGTGGGGGCCGGAGCGCGGCCGGGGCCTCGGGCCACAGACCCGGCGCGGGCGGCGGGCGCAGGGAGTCCCAGAAGGAGCGCAAGAGCCTCCCGGCCCCCGGCGCTCAGCAGCCAGACAGCCCCGGCGGCGGCCCGCAGCCGCTCGGTACGCGCGTCCCTCCGGGGCTGGGGATGAAGGGGAAGGGGGTCACGGAGGTCACCGCTCCTCGACCCCCGTGGTGGGCCGGGGGTCTGGGAGAGACGAGTCAGGGTCGAGTTCAGAGTTCTGTGGCCTTGGCCGAGGGTCTGCGCTCCTCGGGCAGTTCTGGGGGTCGGCGGGCTAGTGCGGGCTGGCGGGGCTGGGGTCCGACGGGCTGGGCAGAGTTGGGGGTAGTGCCGGGGAAGCGTGTGGTGGGGTCGCTGCCTCCCGGCTCCCGAAGGTCGAGCGGGCAGCGGGGCGGGGGCCGGCGGAGGAGCCAGGGCGCCCCCTGACTCGGTGGTCGGGTGGCGCGGGAGCAAAGGCCCGGGTGGGCGCCCGCGCCCCGCGCCCCGCGCCTCTCCGCACGCACGTGGCTGCCGGGGGTCGGCGGCGGGGCTGGTGGCGCGGTGGCTCCCCCTCAGAACAGCAGCCTTCGCCAGCCGGTACCGGCCCGGTTCCCTGAGCGCGGCCCTGGCCTGCCTCGGGGCCCGGCGCCCTGGCCCGGGCCGCGTCACTGCCACTGTCCCCAAACCGGGGCTTGCTGAGAGCGGGCGGTTCCACCGCTCCAGCGTCTGTCCGTGCACCCCGGCTGGGGAGAGGACCTCCCGGTTAGAGTGTTAGGGCTGTGACCTCTGCGACCAGGTAGTGTTTACCTGCGTCTGGGAAGTTGAGCCCAGGAGCCCCAGTCGAGAACCAGAAAGTCGAGTCATTACAGCAAAGATGTTGGAAAGCTTAAGAAATGCTGCCTGCCCGTGCTAGGCCGGTAAATGTATAGGCTGCTTTGATCTGGGAGGTTGAGATCCTGTTTGCGTTATGGCCTTTCTCTTAAGTAAATATAATGGCAGTTGGAGAATCCAGCAAGGCTAGGCTTTCCGCTCCCTGCTTATCCTGTAGAAGGATGTCAAAGTGCAGTGCGTGCGGTCAGTATGTTCATCTTTAGCCCTGTAACAAAATGCCCTGCATTTGTGTTACAAAAATGTTAAAACAGTTCCCGCATGAATGAGGTGAAGTGAACATCCTCTTTTTCCCGTTGCTGGCACTTTCTGTTTGTATACATACATGCATAGCACTATTTTTTTTTCTAAATTTAAAATATCTGATGGAAACTGGGTTGCAACCTACTTCTTTTGCTTGACATTGTAATCACCTGTAACGTTTTTCTGTCAGTTCGTGGTACAAGTGCTCTGACTGTTGAGGTCCAATATTAGAGATATGTAGTTGACTTTTTTGGTTAGAATGAAAATTTTTTTAAAGATTTATTTTATTTATTGGAAAGACAAAGTTGTAGAGAGAGGTAGAGACAGAGAGAGAGATCTTCCATCTGCTGGTTCACTCCCCAGATGGCCGCAATAGCCAGAGCTGCACCAATCCGAAGCCAGGAGCCAGAAGCCTCTTCTTGGTCTCCCACGTGGGTGCAGGGGCCCAAGCCTGGGCCATGCTCTACTGCTTTCCCAGGCCACAGCAGAGAGCTGGATTGGAAGAGGAGCAGCCGGGACTAGAACCTGTACCCATATGGGATGCTGACGCTTCAGGCCAGGGTGTCAACCCACTGCGCCACAGCGCCAGCCCTAGAATGAAAATCTTGTCATTCTAGGTTTTTTTTTTTTTCCCCAGTATGTTATTTCAGGAGCAAATATCTCATTAATTTCTGCTTATGTAGTTACTGTGCTAAATCTGTCTGCAATTAGTGCTGGGGAGCTTCTCTCTCAAGGTTTTACAGTCCTAATTGGTATGAAGGACTAAGCTTTTCCAACAGGCAAGATTTTAAATTTGGTAAGAATGTCACGAGTACTTAGTGTAGACAAAAACCAAGCAGCTTCGATAGATAATGGAAATGTTTATTAATCTCACAAAAGTGTATCATAAGATTTTCCCCCATGGTTTTTAGAGTCTGTGACTATCTAACAATGTACATAAATCCTGTGGCAAGCCTTGCTCTGTAAATTCCTTCTTGAAGCGGTCAGAAGCTAAATGAATCAGCTCTGCTTTTCCTAGAGCTGAAGTTCAGCTTCATTTAGTAGGAAACCTTACTGCAAATGTTGTTGCATTCTGTTGTTGCATATGAACTTGGGTTTAGATCAGTGGTCAAACTGCGTGTGCCAGCCTTTTATTGGAAAGGGTGGTGAAGTGCAGTGTTTGCATTATCTGCTTGGAGCTGCTGATCCAGCACACAGACACAAGCTGGGTTCAGTGGCGGTCTTGATCTCTTGGGTCTAAATTGTGGAGGAAAAAACAACACTGGTTATCTTTGTTTTGAGAGGGAGGTTTGGGAAGAGTAAAATGTTTGCAGGGCATTCACAATCTAATGCTTGTAAATAGCCAATTATATTTAACTGTTTTCAAATTTTGCACAAACTCTGGAAGAGACTTTAATATATAAAGTATGCAGTAAATGTGGTATTTTAAGTTTTGAATGGTGAGTTCCAAGTTCAGTTGATACAATTACAAAATAACTTGGAAGAGGTAGAAGATGAGCCTAATACCTAAGTGATTCTGCACTGAAGTGGAAAGTAAAGATTTTTTAAAACTACAGGTTACAAATAGGAAATCTAAGATTGTATTAAAATAATGTTACATTGAGGGGAAAATATTGTTACTTTGACAGATTTCCTGATGATTATGCCATGGTCTGTTACAGTTTCAACTTGTTAAATAATTAACTTTCCTAATGACATTTTCTGCCTTGTATTTCAGAGACTTCCAGTTTTGAGCTCTTTGTAACATGTGCACCCACAGAGCTGACATTGCATGCTCTCCGGTGCTGTTGCAGCCTGGTGTCAGCCTCCAGTAGAAGCATAATGCTCTTCCTTTACCCTAGCATGTTACACACTCAGACTGTCACCTCACCACAGGATGCAAGTTGGACTGAAATTAAAATCACAGCGAATGGAACTTAGAGCTGTGTGCAACTTTTCACATTAAAAAATCAACCTTGTACGAGCAAAAAATAAGTTGTGTCTATGTACTTGAATGGAAGAGGAATCCAGCAGCTTAAAAATTTACCCATTAACTTGAATAAGTTTAACATTTTATGCCCATACAACCCTTGTGAAGAATATACCAGAACAGTCAAGCTGCTATAGTAAAAAAATAATAATAATGTTTGAGAGATCTTCTAAATATGTACAAAAGAAATGGACATTTCTGGGAGAGGATTTAAGAGCAACAAAGCTCTTCACAACACATTTACCAACTCTTAGCTGGCTGCACAGATAGGCTTTTCTTAAAATCTTTAAATCACCAAAACTAAAGGGACCAAAGTTAGGTGAGAAGAGAAAAGATTAGAGTGGCCCCGGTAGCCTGTCCCTACCCCAGCTGGTTGCTTGCTGGGCTTTCAGGGGACAGAGTGATACCCTCTCTGGTAGTAACCAGCTCTTGGCTGAGTTGGCAAATTCCAGTTTGGGCTCATGTTTGAGCAGTGATCCCAAATGTGTAAATCCTATCAGAGAGCAAACAACTCTTCCTAAGAAGTCGTATACTACAAGCTATTTAAAAGGAAAAATCTTATAAAAAAAATACGAAGCTGATGATAAACCATTGTTGCCCTTGGGTTATGACCAGTCAGGTTTCTCAAATTACAGTCTGAAATGCAGGGTATTTTACCTTTAGTTTTCTGGGTGGAGCTTTGGTGCCATGTTTTGGTAAAGCTGCTTTCATGAAATGCAGGTTAGTGAAATATACCCACAGTTGTCAGTGTTTCTGTGAGATACCAGTCATTACAGGCTAGCTTGTGTGGTAGTACGCTTTTCTAGGACAAGGGAAACCATGATTAAGATCATTAATAAAGCCTTTTATTACTTTTTTTTTTCTCTGACATTTTTCAAAATAAATAATTTTGCTTGGATGAGGATTTGTAGAAAAGTGACGTTTACAAGCACCTGCGAAGCCCAGGTGTCGTGTTCCAGCGCTCTGCTTTGATTTTCCGTTGGCAGGCCAGAAACGAATTCCCAGAAGAGGGGAGCAGCAAGGATGGAATGACAGCCGGGGCACGGAGGTGACGCTGGACAGAGCAGAGCGGAGACCCTACAGGGAATATCGCCCCTATGAGACCGAGAGGCCGGCGGACTTCGCAGCCGAGAAGTTTACAGATGAAAAGTATGTACCGCAGTGCTGGGGAGGGCGAGGTGGGCCAGCACAGAGGGTGTTCAGGAAGCTTGTAGCCTTTGTGGCCTTCTCGTGGCTCCAGTCCTAGGAGCATTTTGCCAATTTAACCAGAAAATTTTATTACCTTAGGTGACACATGAAAAATCTTCAGTTCATCTCAGATAGTCATTGATCAGTCAGGAAATGATTATACAGTTAAAAAAGGAATTGTTCATTGGTAATTATGAAAAGCATCCTGAAAATACACAGGAGCAAGTAGCACAGGTTAATTTTCCTGTTACGTTCTAGACTAAGGATGCAGTTTGGGGCTAGGGACATAATTGTACTTTTGAGTGAGCATTACTAGTTTAGACTATATAAAACTGATCTAAACAAAAGTCCATAGGCTATCATAATGAAATCTGAAAAAAAAATCTTGCATGATGGGTAATACCTGATTCTGGCTCACAAGCTTTCTCTCTAGTAGTATTAGCTGCAGGCCAGTACAGTCCTGCCTCCCTCCTTTGTTGTCCATGGCCCACCTGCATACAGGTAGCAGTTACTTTATATGAGATGAAAAGAGGCTTGTTAAGTAACATATGTATGTTAAGGGTAGGGGTAGGGTAGGACATGGAATTGTGGAGGGATGATTTTTCTTTTAAAATTTCAAATGTATAGACATATTGTAGGAGTTATACAAGAATTTCCATGTGCCCTTAATCCACATTCCCGAAATGTCACCTTTTTAAAATTTCTTTTATCTTAGATTCTCCCTCTCTTTTTAAATACAATTACACTTTTTTTCACTCATTTGAGAATAAAGTATAGAAATGCCTCTTTATTTGACATGTATTTCCTAAAAACATGGTATAATTATCATACTTATTGATACAATGCTGTTTCCTAATTCTCTAAACTGTATCATCTACAGATTAATCAGATCTTACTCAGCTGCCTTCATGATAGGCTTTTAGCAAAAGAGAAAACATTTCTGGTTCAGATTCCGTTCCAGGAATGAGCACTGTGTTCACTCTTCTTTAATCTGGAACAGCTTCTTAGTCTTCCTTTGCCTTTTATGAACTTGACATAGAAAATTTTTACTTACTTGTTTGAGAGGCAGAGTGAATACACTCCCATGCCTGTGGGTGGAGGCAAGGCAAGCTGGGAGCCAGGAACTCTACCAGGTCTCCCATGAGAGTGTAGAAAGTCTGCTTGGGCTGTCATCCATGCCTCCCGGAGTCCACATTAGCGGGAAGCTCAACTCAGGAGCTGGAGCCAGGAGGCAAACCCAGGCACTGCCCTGTGGGACAGGGGCAGCCTACCTGCTGTCCTAAGTGCTAGGCCAAGTGCCCACACCTGAGTCTGACATTGTGGAAGAGCAGGAGCCAGTTATTTTGTGGCACATCTCAGAGTTTGAATTTGTGTGCTGTTTCCTATGGAATGAGGCTTTGTACTTTTGGTGGGAGCACCACAGAAGTAATGTATTCTTAGTGTATCACATTAGGAAAATTTCATTTCCAAGGAAATTTGAATTTTAAATTTCATCATATGGCATTGGAAAAGATATTTTCCTTTTTTTTAAAAAAAAAAAATCTATTATATGAAAGAGTTACAGAGAGAGAGATCTTCCATCTGTTGGTTTACTCCCTAAATGGCCACAACAGCCAGGGTGAGGCCAGGCCGAAGTTAGGAGCCAAGATCTTCTGGGTCTCCCATGTAGGTGGGCCATTTTCCACTGATTTCCTAAGCATATCAGCAGGGAACTGGATCAGAAATGGAGCAGCCGGGACTTGAACCAGCATCCATGAGGGATGCCAGCTTCGTGGGTAGCAGTTTACCCACTGTGCCACTACACTAACCCCAGATATTTTCCTTCAAAAAAATTTTTGAGAGCAAAAGATAGCACCTATTTGCTGGTCCACTCCCGTGCCTACAGTGACTGAAGCTGGGCTGAGGCTGAAGCCAGGAGCCAGGAACTCAATATAGATCTCCCCTGTGAGTGATAGGAACCTGATCATTTGACCCATCACTGCTGCCTCCCAAGGTCTACATTGGCAGGAAGCTGGAGTCAGGTGTTGGAACTGAGTATTGAACCCCAGGTACTATACTGTAGGAAGTGGGTGTCTTAACCAGCGTCTTAGCTACTGACTAAATACCTGCCCTCATACCTTTTTTTGCCATTTTTTTAAAAAAAGATTTATTGTATTCATTTGAAAGGCAGAGCTACAGAGAGAGACCAGGAGAGGGAGAAATAGAGGGAGAGAGATATGTAGAGAGAGATCTTCCATCTGCTGGTTCACCCCCACAAATGGCCACAATGGCTAGGGCTAGGCCAGGCTGAAGCCAGGAGCCAGGAGCTTCTTCTGGGTCTCCCACATGGGTGCAGTAGCCCAACCATTTGGACTGTCTTCTGCTGTGTTCCAAGGCACATTAGCAGGGAGCAGGATTGGAAGTGGAGCAACCAGGACTTGAACCAGTGCCCATATGGGATGCCAGCATTGTAGGCAGAGGCTTAATTCATTATACCATCATGCTAGCCCCTTTCTTTGCTTTTTAAATACTCTTCTGATAATAAAGGGTCATAAGATCTTTTGTATATATACATATTTATGTGTGTGTGTATAGTTTAGATAATTTGGGATAATGTATAAAATTATAAACAAAAAATACCTATCTCACCATCTGAGGTGATTACACTTTGGCCCATTTTATTCTCTTTTAAAAAAATGATTATTTATTTGAAAGGCAGGCTGACAGAGAGAAGAGATCTTTAATCTGCTGGCTCACTCTGCAAATAACCACAACAGCCTGTGCTGGTCCAGGCTGAAGTTAAGAGCCTGGAACTCCATCTGGGACTACCATGTGAGTGACAGGGGCCCAAATCCTTGGGCCACCTTCTGCTACCTTCCCAGATACATTAGCAGGGAGTAGAATTGGAAACAGTAGCAGAGTCTCCAACCAGCACTCCCCTATGGGATGCCAGTGTTGCAAGTAGTGATTTAATCCACTGTGTGGCAACAGTGACCTCTTTATGTATTAATAAACTTGGATTTTTTTAAAGATTTATTTATTTATCTGAGAGAGTTACACAGAGAAGGAGAGGCAGAGAGAGAAAAATCGTCCATCCGCTGGTTCACTCCCCAGTTGGCCACAATGGCCAGAGCTGCACCGATCTGAAGCCAGGAGCCAGGAGCTTCTTCCTGGTTTCCCAGCAGGTGCAGGGGCCCAAGGGCTTGGGCCATCTTCTTCTGCTTTCCCAGGCCATAGCTGAGAGCTGGATCGGAAGTGGAGCAGCCTGGAGTCAAACTGGCGCCATATGGGATGCTGGCACTGCAGGTGGCAGCTTTACCCACTACACCACAGCACTGGCTCCTGAATTTAGATTATAAGATAATAATGCAGCCGGCGCTGTGGCTTACTAAGCTAATTCTCCGCCTATGGTGCTGGCACACCGGGTTCTAGTCCCGGTCGGGGCGCTGGTTCTGTCCTGGTTGCTCCTCTTCCAGTCCGGCTCTCTGCTGTGGCCCAGGAAGGCAGTGGAGGATGGCCCTCTGCACCCGCATGGGAGACCAGGAGAAGTACCTGGCTCCTGGCTTCGGATCAACGCAGTACGCCGGCCGCAGCACACCGGCCGCGGCGGCCATTGGTGGGTGAACCAGCGGTAAAAGGAAGACCTTTCTCTGTCTCTCTCTCACTGTCCACTCTGCCTGTAAAAAAAAAAAAAAAAAAAAAAGTAAAAAAAGATGATAATGCATCCACAACTGAGCATTTACTTTGCTAAACCTCTCACTGTGAATTTTCTTGGATTTGTCTAAGATTTTCTATTTTTTAAAATTGGTATATTTTTATTTGAAAGCCAGAGAGAGAGAAAAAGAGAGACCTTCCATATGCTAGTTCATTATCCAAAATGCTCGCAGTAGCCTGAGCTGAGCTAGGCTGAAGCCAGGAGTGAGGAATTCAACTAGGTTAGGACTCATTGAACCATCAGCTGCTACCTCCCAGGGTGCATGTTAACAGGAAACTGGAATTGGGAGCAGAGCTGGGGCTCCAGTATAGGGTAAGGTATCCCAAGTGACATCTTAACCTCTGCACCAAATGTCTGCCCTTTTCTTCTTTTTTTGTTTTTTAATTTTAATTTATTCTTTTGAGAGCCAGATAGAGCTCCCATCACTAGTTCACTTTCATAGATAACTGTAGCAGGGCTGGGCTAAGTGACTGAATCCAGGAGCCACGAACTTAGTCCAGATCTCCTACCTGGATAGCAGCAGGGACCTGAATACTTGGATCACCACCTGTGGCCTTCCAGGGTGCACATTAGCAGGAAGCTGGAATTGAAAGCAGAGCCAGGACTCAAACCCAGGCACTGTGGTAAGGCACATGGGCATCCCAAGCAGCATCTTAACAACTGCCCCCAAAGCCAATCCTCTGTACTTTGTATTCTGTTTTCTGCTTGACATAGGATAAGCCTTTTTTCCATGTCAATAACGATTTTTTTTTGTTTATTGTTGTTTTTAAAGATTTACTTAGTTGAAAAAGTTAGAGAAGGAGAGAGAGACATCTTCCATCTGCGGGTTCACTCCCCAAATGGCCACAGTGGTTGGGCTGGGCCAGGTCAAAGCCAAGAGGCAGAGGCTTCTTCTGGGTCTCCTCTGCGAGTGCAGGGGCCCAAGCACTTGGGCCATCTTTAACTGCTTTCCCAGGCACATCAGTAGGGAGCTGGATCAGAAATGGAATAGTTGGCACTTGAACTGGTGCCCATATGGGTTGCTGGCGCTGCTGGCAGCAGCTTAACCCACTGTGCCACAACTCTGGCCCCAGTGACAATGTTTGGTAAGCATTCTTAATAGCTCTATTAGGATTTTTTGCATGTATCATAATATATTCATTGCTTTTGTATTTAACCTTTGCTCTTCCAGATTTTTTTTTTTTTTTTTTTTACAGGCAGAGTGAACAGTGAGAGAGAGAGACAGAGAGAAAGGTCTTCCTTTGCCGTTGGTTCACCCTCCAATAGC